TGACAGCACTGGTGATACTTTGTACACCGGCCGTGCCAATATTTTTTAGGGAAAATGTCTGCGAGTACCGGGACAAACTTGTGTCTGAAGTCCAGTCTTTGCGGAACAAAGTCTTGAGTTGGGGGCGACTAAATCCAGTCCAATTTAGCCCTCAGACGACAAAGTTTGCACGTTAACCGTTAAAAAGAACCCCTTTGTCGTATCTCCCCAGTTTCAAGGCACTCCCCTTGTTGGCTCAGCCAGTATTGTAATCTTCGGCGTCGACATATCGAGTGACGTGCAGTTTCGTGGTCACTTGGAAGAGAAGGCCAAATTGGCCTCTAAAAAATTGGTGTGCTCAGCAGAGCGGGACAGTAATTTATGCCGGCACACCGCCTGCAACTTTGCAAACGCCGCACATGGAATACTTTCTCTGGGCTGGGGCTCCCCAGTGCCAGCTCCTTCCACTTGACCGCATCCAGCGCGGAGCGGCTCGAATCGTCGACGACAGAGTGCTTTCCGATCGACTCGACTCACTGGCGCTGCGAAGAGATGTTGCATCTCTTTGCGTATTTTATCGCATCAATCACGGGGAGTGCTTCGAGGAATTGTTCGGATTAATTCCAGTCGCCAAATTTCATGAATGCTCTACGCGACGAACCTCACAATATTTTTAAAAGTCCAAAAATAATCGCAATAATTTAAACATTTTATAACAGGTAGTCGCTAACACTTCGATATCGATTATTACGCAAGACGACACAAGAAGTACGCGGGCGACGGGACGCAGGGAGACTACGCGTTGCCCGTTGCTATGGTTTCGCTTCCCCGTACCTCACACCTCACCGTGCAACAACTATTTATCGCTTCTGCGCAGTTTCATGACTCGTGGCGTGAGCTATACCACTTTATTCTTCACTGGTGACTAATACCTAACCCTAATTATTATACAACACAAATATACCTAATTTTCATTTATTCTAATTTTAGTACCTATAAAATAATTATTTTATGAAAATATACGAGTGGCAAACCCAATGGTTCAATGGAGCATAGGTCCTCAATAAAGGGATTAGTTGAGGTACTGCTCTAGCTTATATATTTACTGTGTTTAAGCTATTGAGAGGTGAGAGGAGAGGTTTTAGCGTTGGTGGTAGGAGATTTCACCATCTTTATCGGACTTCTCTACCATAGCTGAGTATTTGGGCAACAGTTTGGATCAAATCTAGTCTGAAAGAGTTGCCGTGGTTGAGCGTGTAAATCTCTCATTGCAGGCAGTCTCCATATGAGGGAAAGACAATCTTGTGAGATTTAACGCCTCCAAAACATAAGCATGTCTCTGCATCGCAAATAGTAACAACCTCCCTTTGGCTTCTTTTCGAAATGTATCATTGGAACGCACTGACGGTTTTTAGTTTTCCTCTAACCTTAATTTTTGAGTCCAGAGTTATAGAAAAGCTTACACTATAAAAGCGCAAGTTTGATGCTGCAAAATGCAAAACTATTTTCTTAGTAATATGAGTATGGTTAAATCCAATATTACCAGTCAAGAGCACAGGCGCAAAGTAGTCAGCCTTATTTTAAATGACAGTGGAATTGCATGACTAAATCCATCTTACTTACCATCAACGGATCGTGATATTATACGTGATATATTGTGAATATTAGAAACAAAAATGAGGAAATATTTATGTGTCGAAAACATTAATCAAGTCTAAAATGTGTTTTCAGTAGTGATAACTGATAATACGACGTAATTGCTTGTATGTGTGCAACCGGCGACGTCGATCCTCGTACAAAATAAGGTGGACAGTGACAGCCATTCTATTATGTATTATAGTATACTATGGTACTATCTAGTATGTACATGGCAAGAGTGAATAGGCTTTTGTTAAGATAAGTAAATCCGCGTTGCCATCTTCGGTTGCATCGTCAGTTAAATCAGGTGAGATAGTAGTTGAAAACTGGCGCTAAAGTAAAAATAGAATTATTCAACATTGAAAACTTCGTGATGGTAGTGTTGATGTTTCATTTATTTATTACAACAAGACACAAGAACACAATGTAAAAATACTAGAAATAATAGGAAAGTTTATATATGTGTCGCCTTAATTAAAGGTTGCCGCGGCATGCAATGTGTTCTACAAATAGTTATTTTATGTCATTTTAAATAGATTTATTATAAAGTTTGAAGTGACTAACGAACTTACAGTCCACCAGTAAGTGGATAACTGGAACCTATAGACGACTGTGGCCAACTTCAAATAAAGAAAGCTACAGATTACAGATGTATTGTTCACTCTGTGGACAAAGATGGAATACCTCACAGCCTGAAATTATACTGGCTCACTCCATGACCTATATTCAGCAGCAGACTTATGAGTGAAAACATTTCACCGTAAAGGAACAGCAAAAAAAAAATTATTACAGATTAAAATTATCTTCAGCTTTATTTTTATAGCCAACTTTGTATTAAAAAAGTAGATTTATAGCTAATGTTTTAGCTTCACTCTGTATGAAATTATAAATAAATAAATATGGTAACTGTTATGACTAAAAATTTAATTTTGCTATTATTTTAATAAAATTATTTATAACTGTATTAGCTAGTGGGAGTGGATGTAATGCAAATTGCTTTTTTCAAGCATAACCCATAACACTATTGCAACTTATTAGACTAATATATAATTCATTACAATGAATATTAAGGTCCCTGCGCAGAGGGTATACTTTATATTCTTGAAAATAGAACACATCAAATTCTATAACAGAACAAATATCAGATTACCCATGTCAATATCCAGGATATTGACCATAGAATACTATAATACACAATAGAATGGCTGTCAACTTTATTTTGTATGAGATTCGGTATCGCCGGGAGCACACATACAAGCAATTACGTCGTATTATCACTATTACAAACCCGATTCGCTGTGTAATACATATTTATTTGTAAATAGCGTGCAATTTGGCATTTTCTAAATAATTTGCATGCGAAATTTTGAAACGATTGTAACGTCAAAACACATCTCGTGTTGACATTTATACGTGTGAATTGACGTGTTAGTGGCATTTTAGTGGCTACGCGGGCTCCGCCCACTCCGCCGTTCTATTATGTATGTATTATAGTATTCTATAATAATAATAATAATATTCCACAACTATCACACAACGCCATCTAGTCCCAAGCTAAGCAGAGCTTGTGTTATGGGTACTAGACAACTGATAAATATACTTATATATTTCTAAATACATAAATATTATAGATAAATTACACCCAGACACAGAATAAATGATCGTGCTCATCACACAAACAGTTGTCCTGGGTGGGAATCGAACCCACGACCTCCGGCATAGCAGCCAGGGTCACTAACCACTAGGCCAACAGGCCTGTCAATTCTATGATATTGACATTGCTCATAGAATGCAAGTATCCTGAAAATTGGCCACAACATTTAAGTTCCCACACTGTCGATTCGGTTTTCCGTCAGTCTGTGTAGGGCATAAGTGTAAGTACATACGTTTAAAAAAATTATAATTACTAATTACTGTAAAAATTTTAATAAAGTAATCAATAACAGTATTCAAGTAACAATTACTGTTACCATTACAGCTATAATACGACATAGCCTCTCCATAGAGAAGTATATATTGCCCATCTTCTTATTTAATTCCATCTGTCGCCTCTTACGATACGCACGGGATGATATGGGGTTGTGGTTATACTTACACCGCCACTACATGGCCCAAAAAACGTAACAATTAATGAGTGTTGAAATATTTTCTCATTGCTGCTTCATGTTTAGATACGAATTAAAGTAATTGTGAATATTACAAAGAATAACATAAATCAAACGTCATGTATGTGTACATGAAATAGTAACCGAGCAGGATACTATTATATAAACACATATATGACATCTGGTTTATGTTGATTTGGAATAATTTAAGGATTGAATAATACTTGAAAGAAATAAAATCTGGTTTAGGTTAGCAGCACTTACCATTGTGAGGGTAATGTTTTTGTGCTTACACCAACTTGTCTGTACAGCATCGTCATGTGCAGGCAAATATTCAAAATAAATCGTGTACACAGGCAAACTATTGGAAATACTTATGTTAGGCAGTGGATCTAAAACACTGTTGGTAAAGAACATAATATACAAGAAATTTATGAGTAAATTAACTAGTAACTTCCTTAGCGATCTTAATACTTTGGAACTACTATGAAAGTTTAATAATACTTAGCAATAAAGAGAATGAAACTGATGAATGAGAATGAATCTTTTCATAAACAATGTTGGTTAATAAATAATTTAGTTTAGCATGAAGGTTAAACTGCATTTATATTGCACATTTTTAAGTCAGTTGAGAATAAGGCAAAGGCTATATTCATTTTGTTTATATCGGCCAGCGACATCTCCACAATTAATAACAAATAATAATAATAATGTCCTACAGGCCGAATTTCGGTCACGGCGCCCAGCTTCAATAGAGACAAGCCGTTTGCGCTGGATAGGATTATAGTGCCCAAGTGTATGCGCTAGCAGAAGTGCACTCTTTATTCCTTTACTCTCATATTCCGATGGGACGGTAAACCGTCACGACCGGAGAGTTCAGACGCAGGACCAACGGCTTTACGTGCTTTCCGAGGCACGTAGGTGAGACATCGCGAACTTCCTGACTCCAGGCAGCTACTGAGAATGTTTTGATGGAAAAACTCGATAACTGATTTTTTTGGCCCGACCCGGGATTCAAACCCGGACCCTATGATCAGCAGTAGCACTACTACAATCACTAAACCAACGAGGCAGTCTCAATAATTATAGTAATATTAACTGATATCAAATATTATCTATATATTATAAGAAGTAATAAGAGTTTCAAGAAAATTCCTGCTGGAGTCACCAAATTGTCTAGCTAGCCATGCTAGTTACTAAAAAACTAAGCATTTTGAATGCTATACTATAAAAAGTTTTATATTAAAAATGTACAACTTGTTTAATTAAAAAAAGAAACTAGATATTTCCATTTAATAATGGACTTTTTTTCTCGAAGTCTTCTCGTTGTCGGTACAGTTCAGTAACTAATTGTTGGATGAAGGGATGGTCAAATTTTCCTTCAGTTGCTTTAAAAAATTCCTCCAACTTTTTCGGTGCGTTTTCACGTTTCTCGTATTCAAATGCTTGTAATATCATGTCATAGCGATCTAAATCCTTTGCAAATTTTGCTTCTGGCGAACTCTGGTTTTCATATTCCTGGAAAATTAAATTCATTTAAATGAGTTTAATAGTGAATTTTAATTCTATTTCATTTGTTTCAGAAGTGATATTCAACAATGTACTGTCCTCCTGACCCAATTTTCGGTCACAGATGCACTCTCTATTCCCACACTCTCGATCACATCTATAGCTCGATGGGACGCTAAATCAACACGACCAGAGAGATTGGACGCAAGACCAATGGCTTTACATGTTTTCGATTACCGCCAACTTCCTGACTCTGGGAAGATACTGGGAATTTCTTGAGGGAAACATTGAATGACTGATATTTCTTTGCCACAAATCTTTACAATCACTAGACAAGAGGTAGTCATCAAAGTATGTAGAATATATTATAACACAAATTAAATTTTTTTAAGCTATTATTTTTTTTAGCTAGCAGTTATATTTAAGCTGCTTTTATGTCAAATAAAGAATAAGTATTTAGCCAGTGTCTAGTAATTAAATATTTTAAAATTATAATTCAAATGTACAACAATTAAAAGTAATGAAATATTTTCATCTATACATATAATAAAAATGTAAATTGCATATGTCTGTACATTTTATATTTTTGTAATAAAATTGATTGGGAGGGGCTAAAAATAAGTAACTAAATACATTTATATCCTTTTTAGAATTGTCTGTCTGTTTGTTTGTTAATGTATCGTTTATAAAGTCCTGATTTATATCAAAATAATCGCTAGGAAAATTGTGAAGCATATCTTCGTTTTCAATTTAGTCTTTGTTTTATTAAAATTGGTTCATTCTATCAAGTTATTTTTTTTGTGTTTTATTAAGGACAACAAACAGTTGTATGATAAAAATTACAATTCAAATCTTATGTAAATCATCATCATCATTCATCATCATCATTACAGCCCTTCACAAGTCCACTGCTGAACATAGGCCTCCCCCAAGTAATGCCACAAAGCACGGTCCTGAGCCACCTGCATCCATCGACTTCCTGCATGTCTTACCAGGTCGTCACTCTATCTAGTGGGGGGTCGCCCTACACTACGCCTACCGGTACGAGGCTGCCACTCGAGAACCTTTCTTCCCCATCGGTTATCGGTTCTTCGAGCTATATGGCCGGCCCATTGCCACTTCAGCTTGCTAATCCGTTGGGCTATGTCGGTCACTCTGGTTTTACTGCGGATATCCTCATTTCTGAGTCTATCACGCAGTGAAACTCCGAGCATAGCCCTCTCCATAGCTCGCTGAGCGACCTTGAGCGTCCTCATACGGCCAGCGGTGAAGGACCACGTCTCAGATCCGTAAGTCATCACTGGCAACACGCACTGGTTGTACACTTTAGTTTTCAGAGATTGAGGTATGTAAATAGATAAACTAATTACACAACCAACACCATTATCCACAAAATTACCGTACTAATTAAAGTTATAAGGCACAGAGAACACAAATATAAAATAAAATAACTAAAAAAAATAAAAACTAAAAACTAGAGACAACAATGCATACTTAGCCGTTAACAGCAAAATCGTGAATATTACACATGTATTACAAAAAATAAAACAATTTAGATTAACGTTATAAAATTATAAGGAAATAGTAATAAAGAGAAAAATAAAAATTACAAAGTCATTTAATACAAGTTTCATAGCTTTTCTAAATTGAGGTAGGGACATGGTAAATAAGTCTACATCAGAGAAGCTGTGATACGCCAAAGCCCCCCGCTTTTTGCACAGATTAAGGAAAAACAAACGACGCACGTGAGTGTTTCGTATTCTTTGTGAGCGACTTGGTACACGAAGGTATATACAATTGACAAATTGAGACCAATCAAAAAATTTACGACAAATTTTGTAAAGAAAAGTACAATAAGTAATCGCTTATTACTTAAAGTTGTTAAATAGTATTTATGCAAGAGGTTATCATAAGAGGACCAAGAATAGTAACATCTGTAGTTTACAGAGCATAGATATTTAGCTTGAACCGATTCTAGTAAATCACGATATCTTTGGTAGAAGGGATTTCAAACTTGTGTGGCATACTTCAATTGGGGTCTTATAAGAGATTTATAGAGTAGTAGATAAGTGCCAGACTTTTATTTAGTAGTATTTAGTTATGATTAACATTCTGAAGTATGGGTACGAAATAAAGGTACGAATTTGTTCAATTTCGAAATTGGTGGCGTCGAGTGATCAAGAACATTTTTGTAATTAAATAATGTAAAATAGTGTTCATAATGATATAATAAATAATAACGTAATGAATATTTATAAAAAATATATAAATCCTAATATCTTAGTTGAAAAAGTACAATAGTTAACCAATGTCATCGATAGGTGGTGTTGTGCAAATTATTTATTAAATTTTAAGGTGAGCTTATAATTTTTTTCTTAACCTCCGCGTACCTACAACGTGGTGAATCAAATTTTGAAAGAGCTATTAATTTTTTTTTTTTGGTTTCGTCAATGATCATATCAATCATATAGGAGCTTGACAGTAAACTGCACTTCCAAAAGTTTTAAAATTTACATTGTCGTGAAACTGAAAAATTACGTTCCTCAATTTTGAGTTCTTTTTTTTAAATATTATTTCTACCCGATCTTTTCAAAATATCATATCATTTTTATTTTACTGTAATAATTAATAACTACCACAATTTTATATAGATGGCGCTATAAGTATTTTCAAGCACCATAAAGTTTCATTATAACCGATATATGAATGAAACATAATATGTAAATAATTACTTTGCTTGTTGCTAAACGCAATGTTTGTTTAGCAAATATGTTTCTTCTTTTTATCCAATAACCGTTACAGCATTTTAAAGTTCACTGCTGAACACAGGCCTCCCCATTGATTGCCTCATATTTGGCATCATCTACTATATAAAAATAAGTCGGGTTTTCCTTCCTGACGCTATAACTCCCGAACGCACTAACCGATTTCCATGAGTTTGCATTCGTTGGAAAGGTCTCGGGCTCCGTGAGGTTTATAGCAAAGAAAATTCAGGAAAAATTTCAACAGAAAAGCGGGAAAATCTTTTTTCACACACAGCGCCATCTTTGATACATAGCATGTACTACGAACCAATATTTTAAGTAGATGGCGCCAGTGCGTGATACATTGTTTGACAGCTACTCATTGTTCTCTGCTTAGTTAATTTCATGTGACAAACCGATATATATTGTGTTCACTGTGAAATTGTAAAAAAAAGCAAAAAAATAAGTTATTCGTTTCCTAACATTACAATTGGAAACCATCAAATCAATCACGTGTATTGTGCAAATTTTTATTCAATTTCAACAGCAGGCATTTGTCTTTAAAGTGGTAAGTTGAACTGTGTAAATTATGTGGATCATGCATTTGAGGTTAAATTCACCATTCTGTCCATAGTCCAAAATGCCTAGAGGACGACGTGCGAACATCGGCCGCCGCACAAGACATGCAAGCCAGCAACAAGTGTATTCACAGAACTTAAGCGAAGAAAGACAAAATATAATAAGAGAAAATGCCCGATTGATACAACGCGTGAGCACACGAAGATCATTGACATCATACAATCGCTTGGCATTCCAATATGATCCCACTGCGAACTACAGTGATGATGAAAATTTAGATATTGGACCAATGACGACTATATGCCGATATTGCAATGCGTTAAAGTTCAAAAGAGAAACGGCTGGATTGTGCTGCGCAAGTGGAAAAGTCAAACTGGATCCATTACTTACACCACCACTGACACTGAAACCATTGTTCGATGGAAGTGATCCCGATTCCAGCCATTTTCTTCAACACATCCTTGAATACAATAACTGCTTTCGCATGACTTCCTTTGGAGCTAATATCATTCGAGAAGGCGGCTTCATGTCGACTTGCAAGGTAAAAGATACAACACACATAACCAATCACTCACACCAACACAATGAAGTTGGTGTTATGGTTTTTTGCAACACATAACAACTACATATACACCACACACACTACACCATCACACGATCAGAAGTTACACCGTATTCTTCAACAAATGATTGTTTGCAATTACAGGTACAAGGACAAATATATCATTTGCATGGTTCAATGGTGCCAACACCAGATGAACCGCATCAATTTCTGCAAATATAATTCATTTCGTCGATGGTGGATCAGCTGAATATGCGGTGCAATATACAGAGAACACAACAGTTAAAGAGACGAATTATTGAACAGTTGCAATCATTTTTTCACGCTAATAATGCTGTGGTTAATATGTTCAAAACAGCATTGGAACGAATGCCATCGGATATACGCACAAATATGTCATAAGAGCGGATTGTACCCCAACAGGTGAACATGTGCGAAGATTCAATGCACCCACCGTTAATGATGTTGCTGCAATTATTGTTGGCGATCTAACTAAATCGCGAGACATTGTCGTTCAGCGAAGAAGCAATATCATGCATCGTGTAAACGAGACACATCGTTTGTACGCGCATCATTGGCAAGGGCAAGACGGATACAACATCACGTTGAAGATGGTCTATCTACAATATTCACACACTAATTATTGCTATTATTGGTTTCCATTAACAATTCATTTAATTTTGCATTTTCAGGCGTATCAACGAATAAAAATCTAAGCGCAATGAATTACTACGCGTATCGTATGATGATTCGTCCGAGAGAATGTCATCCTGAAGTGCCGTCGGCTATTCCAGAAATTCGCTGTCGACATGTATGTCAAAGTCGAGACCGAACGTTTAGCGTTCATCCGATTCAATTAGGCAAAGTTACGATCTGAGGACTATATACACTTGCGTGATGCTATTCATTCAGATGGTGATGTTCAGAATATTGGACGTCTGACGATTCTCCCATCATCTTATATCGGAAGCCCACGCCACATCCACGAATACGCTCAAGACGCTATGACATACGTGCGAAATTATGGAACTCCGGATTTATTTATTACGTTCACATGCAATCCGAAGTGGACGGAAATTGAACGTGAGTTGGAACCGGGCCAAAATCCGCAAGATCGCCATGAC